CCCAAAATTCTATTGGAGCTTGTGATAATAGATGCTTGCATAACAGATGAAATATGCCCTGAGCAAATGAAGTGCTGCACCAATGGATGTGGACAGGACTGCATGCCGGCTGTCTTTGAAGTGACTTACTTCCTAATGTGGTGCCTTACTTTCCTAATGTGGTGACACCATGGCAGGGGCAGCCTATAGAAGAAAAGTTTATGGAGAGTTTACAGATTCAGAGAGTGAGTCCATGACCATCATGGTGGGGAAAATGGCTGAAGGCAGACAGGCATGGTGCTGCAGTAGCAGCCGAAAGCTTATGTCTTGACACACAATAATGAAGCAGAGAGCAAGCTTACTGGGAATAGCGCTGGACTTTTGAAACCTCCAAGTCTATCCCTAGTGACACATCTCCTCTTAATCTACTGGAGACCATTATTACAGGAACTAGAAATTAATATTCAAGGTATAAACCCACCAGCAAATAATTTCTGAAAGAGGGAAACTCATATTTGCAAAACTTGTGAGAAATGCCTACTCCAGAATAACTTTTTGCTTCTGCCTATAATTTTACATGTGATAATGTGCATTCTATCCCCATTGGCTACAGGGAATTTCCACAGCCTATATTCTAAGGTGTGTGCATCTCATGAATATGATCCCTATCTAGTTGATATCTTTATCTATGAATTGTCCTCCTTAGCTCTATTGTTCAATTGATATTAATAATGTTAGATTATAAAGACTTTTGATGAATAAAATAAATACAAAAAGATGCTACCCATGTCAGGGATTATAAATTTCCACTAAGAGCTGTCTTAGAGCACAACTTTGGAAAACAGCTGTGTTTTCCCTAGCTGCCAAGATAACTGTATACTATCAATGGTTATAAAAGTTCAAAATAGCTACAGATCAGCCCATGTACTTTGTTAGTGGATTTTAAGATAAACTATTCACAGAAAAATACAATCTTATTTACAAGGACATGTAGTCAGCTGTCAAATTGGTAAACCAAGGTAACCAGTGAGAAGCAACTTAATTGTGGTGCCAAATGACAGTGATCAACTCTCTACTGTACAATTTCTTCCCTCAGTTTTAGAACCTTTGTTTAGACACCACAGGAAAATATTTCCTAGCTGGCTAGAGTTACACAGTATAAACTATATTCATAGCCCTGAGAAAGAGTTTCAAGTTTCCCTTCTTATGGTCAAGGGTTACACACAGAACAGAAAAATATATGTTAATATTTGAAAGGATTTAAATGTCACTGTGCCTCAGAGAATGCTGAGTATGCTTGGCTTCTGTGTCTCTGCCCCTTCCCCATTCCATCTAAAGCTCACTTGCTGAGAAGGGTCTCTTACCTAGGCTCTGCACTCTCCTTGAGAACACATTGCTCTTTTTAAACAGTCTCCAATCTGAGGAAGTTCAGTTTTTAGGACCACTAACCATAAAATGCTTAAAAGGTTTATACACTTAAAAGTATAGGGTGTAACACACAATTTCCTTTCTCTCTCTCTCTCTCTCTCTCTCTCTCTCTCTCTCTCTCTCTGTTGTTGTTGTTGGTTTTTTTGTTTGTTTGTTTGTTTTTTCGAGACAGGGTTTCTCGGTATTGTTTTGGAGGCTGTCCTGGAACTAGCTCTGTAGACCAGACTGGCCTAGAACTCACAGAGATCCGCCTGTCTCTGCCTCCCGAGTGCTGGGAGTAAAGGCTGTGTCACCAATGCCCAGTTTCCTTTTTCTCTTAGTCTCCTAAACAGTTGAGTTTTACATGGCTACCTCATAGATAGATGACAGAAAGACTTCTCTTTTTGCAGTTGTGGTTACAGCCCACTAATTAGGGAGTTGGCTGAAAGAAAGTGCTCTTCTCTTGCTCTGTGCTTATCTGATTTATTGCTTGTGAGCTGGTGGAATGACTGTGTTTCTTATCATTTGTTTAAGAAATGGTATATGACTTACAGATATAATAACTGAAAGACTTTGTGGGTATTCATAAGCTGTGAAGGACAAAGACACCTAGGCAGATTTAAGGGGAACATCACAAGAGTGACATCATGAGAGAAGGATAACATCGTGTGTGAGAGAATTAGCAGGAAAACATCAAGAGTAAAGATGCAGGCAGAATGAGAGATAGAATGAGATGCAAAGTACCAAAGAAACATCATGGGAGAAATTTAAAGAAGAATTCCATATGAGGGAATGAAGAGTGAAACCATCAAGGAAAACATGTGCTTGTGTCTTTTTCTCACCTCCTCAGATTAAAAAAAAAAAAAACGTTTATTGTATGCCAACTCCATTGGATTCCATTTACAGTCCTGTGCAGCTAGAAATTGGCCTGCTAGATATCAGTATTAATCCTTCCCCAAATACTCCAACTACTGGGGAGTGTAAATCCATGAGGGTCATTGTCCTTCAAATTACCACATCAAGTCAAGGTATGTCCAATGGAGTAAATGAGTATCCATGGAATTAGCCTGGACACTCTCATGTTATTTGCTCATTGCACACACAAGAGTATGGATGTATCCAACAGAGAGGAGCTGGAAGTACATGGCACCAGAACACTGGATTACATAATCTGTGGCCCTCTCCTCTGCAAAGACATTCCCACAGCATCTAAAGTGACACAAGTCACTGTGACTTAGTTCCACATGGCCATACGTAGGGGCCTGAATATGATATTCTGATATAGGCCTCAGCTCATTTCCAGGAACTGGAATCTCCCATTGTCTTTTAGATGTTGGCTGGTTACCTCTGAATGGCCTGTTCACAGTAGAGAATTAATTCTAGTTTGCATAACAATAGACCTAGGCCCCATACCTATCATGAGAGCTAGTGGGACATGCCTGAAGACTGGTCACATGTGCCATTACAGAAAGTCCAAGGACTTGTTTACGTGCGTTCTGGGACCATCTCTAGGGTTAAAGAAAGTGTTTCCTAGTCAGCCCTATTTATATGATAATAGATGTCTTCTGCCAATACCCCCTCTTTTAGAAAGCTATTTAAGAGGGTGCTTGAATAAACCAGTGTCTCCAGTATGGACTGAGAGCCCTCCTGAAATGACAAGATGTCTCTGTCTCATTCCTAGTGCTGCTGGGTAGCTAAGACTTCCCTGACCCACACTCTCCCACTCTGGGTGAGACCCAGGGCTGTTTGGCTGGTTCGGAACATAGTCCTAAAGTCATCAGTCTAGAATAGATGGCTCTTGCAGCATAGGACTGATACAGGCCGGACCCCGGCAGCCATAAACTGGGATATCTCACTCTTCTCCCCCTCCCCAGCCTAAGAGGTCTGACTCTCCCAGGAGATGAGGTGCTCCAGGGAGGGAGAAGGATAATGAAGTGAGTGGGAACATTCATTCATTTGAATACCTTACACATCAGGCAGGCCTGTACTGGAATGAGAGAAAAGGGCAAATGTACCTAGACTGGACAAACAGGCCTGTGTGTCAGAGGAGTTCTACCCCAGTCTACTAAGTTCTGTTAAAGGTGATTAGCTTTGCTGGGGCAGGAGGGTAGGTGCTAGAGTGGAGATCAACTAGGAGAAAACTCAATTTAGGATACATAAACCCCACCATGCAAGGAAGGTAAGTTCAGATGGTTTAAGATGTGCCATCCCTCTTTGTGACTTGTAAAAATAGTTGCCTGGGATAGCTGCATTACTGAGCCATGGGGGTGGACAGACTACATCCAAAAAGCAATGAGCTCACCAGCATGGACTGAGGGCTTAACATCTGAACCCTTCTAAACAGATGAAAATCATGATGTCATTTGTATTGTAGATGGCTGACAAACCTTATGAATATATATCCCATAGTTATCAGGATGCCTGATGACCCTCTCAGAAGATTTCTTCTGAATCCACAGAACCCATGACTGATACTAGAACTGCATCCTTAGAAAATGAAAACCTATAATGTGGTAACTGCTTCCTGGTGTCTTTGTATCCAAAATAAACAATTCTTAGCATTCTCTTGCTGAAGAGTTCTTCCCATTTGTGCATCTTATTGACTATTCTGATTAGCAGAGCCATCCCTGTATCCTCCAGAGAGTCCCATGAACACTGAGGCCCCAGGATCACTACAGACTGGGGACAAGTTGCTCCTTAACAATCCCTCTTCCCATGCCTTGTCTGTTCCTCCAAACATGTCTGAGGACATAACAAAATTTTCTGGTGCATCCTGGGAACACAAGTCTGCTCAAGCAAACAAAATGTACTAAGGATGTCCCACAGAGCAGGCCTGCTGGAACTGCATTTACTAGGTCATGATGCAGGAGGAGCAGGAAGGGCTCAGGGATTTCCCCACTCTAAGGCAATACAACATCCTGCAGGACTGGATCTCTAACTCCAGGAGCCCAGCTATGTCCTCTGGGGTGTGGGTTCTTCTTAGCATGAGTTAAGAGGCTGGAAAGCTGGTTCAGTGATTAATAGAACATTCTGCTCTTCCAGAGGATCTGAATTCAGTTCCCAGCATCCATAGCAGGTGGCTGACAACTTCCTATAACTCCAGCTCAAGGGTGATACCACACCTCTGCCCCCCTTAGACAACTGTTCTCATGTACATGTATATCCCTCCCACCCCACCCCACCCCCACATACTAAACATAATTTAAAATATTTTTAAATCATTAAGAAACACAGACTAGAAGCACCAATTCCTGTCTACATTAGGAGTAAGAACTTAACTGAAATACCTCTAGAAATCTGGGCCCATCCCTATCCATCAAGCTCAGCACTGGTGTCTGGGAAGGACTTCTGCTTCTCCCCTGGCCTTAGTTGGATGGGGGACAAGTCATATTCCAGCTAAATTGCCTGGTTCCCTCAACAATGTTGGCATTTATGGAAGATCACTGAAAAGGATCAGAGATGAAAAGGAAACCCCTTCATTTTCAGGGAAGAATCTCACCAGGAAACATTTATCCTCTGTTATCTTTCCTAGATCCCCTGATTTTATCTGCCAAAGTTGGGTGTCCCATGTCTGTCTCTGTCATAACACTTCTCCTGTACCTCACAAGGCTCACCTCATAACTTGATGTCCTATGTCTCCTTCCATGTAGCTCACTCATCTGTCTGTCTTCTTGCTCACACACCAGGAACTGCCATCCATCTGTCCTCCAGTCCCTTCATCCTGACCTGGTCCTGCTCGTTGCTTCTGCAGCTGAACTCAACTCCGCACTTTGCTTTCAAGCAGGTGACCTAAGTGGCCTGACCTGTAGTCACCATAGTTTCTCCAGCTTCTCCTCTCTATGCTACTTCATTGTCTTAGCAATCTAAATTCTACTTAGCTTCCTCTGGTTCTCTGCTCCTCAGGAATTCTGAAACCTTTAGAATTCTGCTGTGGCCTCTTAACCCTTTACAGCCATTTCTGTGACATCTATACATATTACTTGTATGTATGTATATATAGCTAGGTGTATTTACTATATTTTTAATTAGTGATGTGAGAGTTAATATTAGTGGTTAAGGCTGGAATAAAAAGATTCAGTGTTAGCCTTGGCCAGGTTACCAATGAAAATAGAACTGCATAACCAGTTGCTTCCGTTAAAACTGCTCTGTCTTAAGCCAAGTGGTGGTGACCCATACTTTCAGTCCTAGCACTCGGGATTCAGGGGCTGGAGGATCTCTGAGTTCAAGGCCACCCTGGTCTACCGAGAGGTTCCTAGACAGTCATGGCTAAAAAGATAAACCATGTCACAAAAATAAAAAACAAAAACAAATGAAAAACCACTGCTGTATCTTAGGAATTTCTGGTTATCCAATAAATTATGACATTATAAACAAACACAAATGGATTTGACTGCATTTCTGACGTAGCATGCACACAGAAGAATGGGGAAAGTTCCAGGCACCACAGCATGTCTCTTCAGTCTGAAGGAAGGACTGGAAGCACATGAAGCAAAGCATGTGACCAGTCAAACCCCTACCATTTGAGAAGTAACCCTACACAGATAACTCATAAGCAAGACATGCCATGAGTGGGGCATCCCAAAACAGTTGGTGTTTTACCCCTACAACTCCTTCTCTGAGAGTCTATAACAGGGACAGCAAAGGAGGCGGGCTCTCTACTCAGGGACTAGGGACAGTGTTGCTCTCCTAGGCTTCCCATCCCTCCTCTGCTCACCTGTGCAGCCTTCTTTCTAAAGACCTGTCTTACAGAAAAGCGTTGGTCTAAGGAGACCGACCATCACAGTGAGGCTGCCTACTCACTGTCAACTGCCTCTAGCCACTTTGAGATCTTAGAGTATCCATCTCTTCCAGGAGAGACTTCATTGCCTACTTCTGCAGGTAAGAGGGGCCCATATTCCACACCTGTGTAGGGATCTCATCCATAGAGCTACAAAAAGCACAACCACCATATCTCCCAGAAGCATGCTACATCCTTACACAACTAGATGTCCAGGAATCCCAAGATGGCCCTGACACTTCACAGTGGCTGTCTTGGCTCCAGCTCTCACTCTGAGTTGCTGAGCTCCACAGAAACAATTATTTCCTTCACTCAGCATTCAAAACAGGGCCAAGCTGTCATGTAAGGAGGAGCACATAAGTGCTAAATCATACTTGATGTTTTTCCTGGTTATCTGTTTTACCTATCGAGAACAATAACTGTAATTAGAGATAAGCAACTTGTGAAATAGAAATAGTCAGGCTATTGTCAGGCTGTTTCTGGAAAACTCTTTTTACTATGCTTCCCCATAGACTACTTCCTGTCACACCCAGGCTTCTAGCATCACTGAGGGTATAAATTGATTTGTGTCTTCAGCCACTCCAGAGCCAACATGAAGACAGCCACAGCCTTGGTTTTGGTGGCTTTGATTGCCATAGTGATGGATACATCCTGTGCTCTGTCCTCTCTCCGAAGTAAGAATGCCTAGGGGATACAGGCTGATAGCAGAAAGGGACAAACCCACTGGGGACTGAAACTCAGCTGCCACAGGGCAAAGCCATGTGCCCACTGTTTGGATCAAACTCACTTCTTTTGTCCTACAAGAGTGATCACTCTGCATTTATTAGCTTTCTTTCAAGAGAGAGAAAGGGAGAGAGAGAGAAAAAGAGAGAGACAGACAGACAGCGAGAGAGCGAGAGAGCGAGTGAGAGAGAGAGAGAGAGAGAGAGAGAGAGAGAGAGAGAGAGAGAGAGAGAGAGAGAGAGAGCTATCTCACGGAAGCTGGGGTAGAGATCAGGGCAGCTCATCTATGTTGGAGATGGGCATGGGCTCGTGGGAGCAGTTGCTCAGAGATAAACCTGAGTGTAGTGGGAAGAGAGAGGTCTGGCTGTCATTGCAGTTTTATAGCATCTTCTCAGATGTAAACAAGGGGCTATGACAGTGGAAGGAGACTGTATACACCTTGGAGAGGGAGCACACTCTCCCAATGGGCAGACTGAACACTCAGGCACAAGTGAGAGATGGGAGCTGGTTAAACTGAGGGAAGATTCCTGGGGTGCAAAGGAGAAAATAGAGTGAGCTAGTTTCCTGCAGGTGAGCAGGATTTCAGATCTCTAGCATCAATTCCCAACCTTGTCTTTCTGACTGCTTCAGCCTCCATAAACACCATTGTGTATTTCAGAAGGACAGAAACCTGGAGCTTGTCCCAAGCTTCCCCCAAATACTGGTGGAAGTTGCAATGAAGAATGCTCTGGAGATGGGTCTTGCCCTGGGAAAATGAAGTGCTGCAGCAATGGGTGTGGTCATGTCTGCAAACATCCTGTCTTCACAGTGAGTATATCCATGTCTTCCTTTCCTATTGCTGTGACACCATGATCAAAGCACTTATAGAAGAAAGAGTTATTGGAGTCTACAGTTTCAGACAGTGAGTCCATGACCATCATGGCAGGGAACATGGCAGCAGGCACACAGGCATGGCACTGCACACTAGATGAAAGCTTACATCTTGACACACAATCATGAAGCAGAGAGCAAGATAAGTGGGAATAGTGTGGGACTTTGAAACCTCCAAGCCTGTACTCAGTCATACATCTTCTCCAACAAAGCCACACATCCTAATCCTCCCCCAAATGCTCTAACAATTGGGGACCAAGTACTCAAATATATAAGCCCTTGGGGGCCATTGCCATTCAAACACCACATGCAACCAAGGTATGTCCACAGGAGTATTGAGTTTTCATGGGCCTCTGCTGGCAGTCTCATGCTGCTATGTCCACTGACGGCACACAGGGTCAGTATGTGTCCATGAGAAAGGAGCTGGAAGCAATGGCAGCAGGACACTGGGTTACATGATCTGTGACCCTCTCCTCTGCAAAGACAGCCCCACAGTGACTAAAGTGACACAGGTCACCATGTTTAGGTCCACATGATCATGAACTGGGACATCTTACTCTTTGCCTTTCCAGCCTAAGGGGTCTGACTCTCCCAGGAGAGCAGATGCCCCAGGGAGGGAGAGATAATGAAGTGAGTGGGAACATACATTCATTAGGCTGCCCTGTGGTGGAATGAGAATAAAATGTAAATACAATGAGAGAAACAGGCCTGTGTGTTACCATGAGTTCTGATAATAGTGGCTAGCTTTGCCTGGGAAAAGGTAGGAAAGATTCAGGATTGTAGATCCAGGAGGAGAAAGCCTAAGTTAGGATATACAAGGCCCACCAAACAAGGAAGGCAAGCTCAGATGGTGGGAGATGTACCAGCTCTCCTTGGGAGATGGGGAAATGATTGCACTGGATAGCTGTTGTGTCTGTGGATGGGAGTGGGGACTACAGCAACAAAGGCTACACCCAAACAATGAGCTGCACCGCATAGAGTGAGGGCAGAACATATGGACCTTTCTAAACAGGTGAAAATCATGATGCAATTTGTATTGTAGAAGGCTGTTGACCCTTTGGAAGATGGTTTCCATACTCATCAGGATGGCTGGTGACCAGCCACAGAAGGTTTCTTCTGAATCCACAGAGCCCTGCCTGCTACTCCCTAGCCCTAGAACTGCATCCTTAGAAGATGAAAACCTATAATGTGGTGACTGCTTCCTAGTGCCTTTGTGTCCAAAATAAATTATCCTTAGCATCCTCTTGCTGAAGAGTTCTTCCCATTTCTGCTTCTTATTGACTATTCTGATTAGCAGAGCCATCCCTGTAGCCACCAGTGAGTCCCATGAACACTGAGCCCCCAGGATGCCTGCAGACCAGCAGAAGTTGCAAGTTATCTCTAAATAATCTCATGCCATGTCTGTTCATCCAAACAAGGCGGAAGACATAAGAATATTTTCTAGTGAATTCTGTGAACACAGGTCTGTTCAAGTAAACAAAATGAACTGAGCACGTCCCACAGAGCAGGCCTGCTGGAGCTGCATTTACTAGGTCATGATGCAGGAGGAACAGAAAGGGTTCGGAGATTCCCATTCTAAGGCAATACAACATCCCGCAGGACTGGATTGGTAGCTCCAGGAGCCCACACATGACCTCTGGGGTGTGGGTTCTTCTTAGCATGTGTTAAGAAACGGGGGAGCTGCTTCAGTAGTTAATAGCACATTCTGCTCTCCTAGAGGATCTGAGTTCAGTTCCCAGCATCCATAACAGGTGGCTCACAACTTCCTGCAACTCCAGTTCAAGGGGATCTGCCACCTCTGCCTCCCTCAGACAGCTGTTCTCATGTGCATGTATGTACATCCCACCCCACTCACACATAGTATACATAATTTAAAATACTTTAAATTGCTAAGAAGCATGGGTTAGAAGCACCAGTTCCTGTCTACATTAAGAGTTAGAACTTATTTAAAATACCTCTAGGAGTCTGGCCCATCCCTATCCATCGAGCTCAGCACTGGTGTCTGGGAAGGGCTTCTGCTTCTTCCTTGGCCTTAGCTGGATGGGGGACAGGCCATGTGCAGGTTTGATTGCCTGGTTCCCTCAGCTGTTTGGGTTTATTCAGGATCACTGCAAAGGATAGAAATGAAAACGTTAATCCTTACTTTTGGGAGTAGAACCTAATCAGGAAACATTTAGCCTATGTTATCCTTCCTAGATCCCCTGATTTTGTCTGCTAAATTTGGTGCCCCATGTCTGTCCCTGTCACAGCACTGCTCCTGTACCTCACATGGCTCACCTCATAACTTGATGTCCTATGTCTCCTTCCATGCAGTTCCCTCATCTGTCTGTCTTCTTGCTCACACACCTGGACCTGCCATCCATCTGTCCTCCAGTTCCTTCATCCAGACCTGGTCCTGCTCTTTGCTTCAAGCTGGTGACCGGAAATGGCCTAACCTGCAGTCACCATAGTTTCTCCAGCTTCTCTCTTCCACTTTGGATCTTATCAATCTAGATTCTATTTAGATTCCTCTGTCTCTGCTCCTCAGGACTTCTAAAACCTATTGACTTCTGCTATGGCCTCTTAACCCTTTACAGCTATTTCTGTTATACATGTATATATGCAATTTTTATATAGAGAGTTTTATTTACTGTGTTTTCTGTAACACATGATTTGAGAGTTAATATTAATAATAATTATGGTTGGAATAAAATATTTGGTACTAGCCTTGGCCAGGTTACCAATGAAAACAGAACTGAATAACCAGAAGCTTCCATTAAAATTGCTGTGTCTTAAGCCAAGTGGTGGTGGCTCATGTTTTCAGTCCCAGAACTCAGGATTCAGAGCCTGGAGAATCTCTGAGTTCAAGGCCACCCTGGTCTACAGAGCAAGTTCCAGTACAGCAGGGCTACACAGATAATCCCTGTTCACAGAAACAAAAACCAGAATCAAACAAGAAAAAAAGCCACTGTGGTATTTTGTGAGTTTATGGTTTTTCCATTAATTATGACATTATAAGCAAACAGATGAATTTGATAATATTTCTGACATAGCATGCTTACAAGAGAGGGGAAAGTTACAGGCATCCAGGCTTGTCTCCTCAGTCTGAAGGAAGGACTGGAAGCAAAAAGAGTAAAGCATCTTACCAAACAAACCTCCTCAATCTCTGAGAAGTAACCCTACACAGATAACACATAAGCCAGCCACACCATGAGTGGCTCATTCCACAGCTGTTGGCGTTTTCCCACTACAACTCCTTCTCCAAGAGTCTATAACAGGGACAGCAAAGGAGGCGGCTCTCTACTCAGGGACTAGGGGCAGTGTTGCTCTCCTAGGCTTCCCATCCCTCCTCTGCTCACCTGTGCAGCCTTCTTTCTAAAGACCTGTCTTACAGAAAAGCGTTGGTCTAAGGAGACCGACCATCACAGTGAGGCTGCCTACTCACTGTCAACTGCCTCTAGCCACTTTGAGATCTTAGAGTATCCATCTCTTCCAGGAGAGACTTCATTGCCTACTTCTGCAGGTAAGAGGGGCCCATATTCCACACCTGTGTAGGGATCTCATCCATAGAGCTACAAAAAGCACAACCACCATATCTCCCAGAAGCATGCTACATCCTTACATAACTAGATGTCCAGGAATCCCAAGATGGCCCCGACACTTCACAGTGGCTGCCTTGTCTTCAGCTCTCACCCTGAACTGCTGAATGACGCAGAAACGATTATTATTTTGTTCACCATTCACAAAGGCCAAGCTGTGCTGTAAGGAGGAACACAGTGCTAAAATGTGTACTTGACTTTTCCTGATCTTCTATCCTACCTACCAAGAAACAATGCTCTAATTGTATTTAGAGAGAAGCTAGTTATGAAATAGAAGAAATAGCCAGGTTATTTGCAGGAAGTTTCCGGAAAGCTCTTTTTTCTATACTTCCCTATTGACTGCCTCCTGTCACACGCAGGCTGCTAGTGTTACTGAGGGTATAAATTGATTTATGCATTCAGTCCAGCCAGAGCCAACATGAAGGCACCCACAGTCTTGGTTCTTGTGGCTTTGATCACCATAGTGACAGAGATGCCCTGTGCTCTATCTTCTACCAAAGGTAAGTGTGTTAAGGGGATTCAAGCTGAAATCAGAGATGGGTCACAGCCCACTAGGCCTAAGACTGATATGCCACAAGGGAAAGCCATGTGCCCACTGCTTAGATCAAACTCATTTCTTTTTGGCCTATGAGAGTGATCACTCTGCATTTCTTATCTTTCTTAAGAGAGAGAGAGAAAGTTGCATCTCACAGAAGCTGGAATAGAGATCAGGACAGCTCATCTAGTTTGGATGAGGGACTCATGGGAGCAGTTGCTCAGAGATGAACCTGGAGTATGGTGGGATGGGAGGAGTCTGGCCATCATTAGACGTTTCATAGCATCTTCTCAGATGTACAGGAGGGGCTGTGATGGTGGAAGGTTCTTTCTACTGAGACTGTATAGGCTTTGGGGAGAGTGCACACTCTCCCAATAACCAGACAGGTAACACTCATGCCTAAGAGAAGGATTGGAGCTGGTGGAGCTGAGGGACGATCCCTGGGGTGCAAAGGAGAATATAGAGTGAGCTAGTTTCCTGCAGGAGATCAGGCTTTCAGACCTCTAGCATCAATTCTCAACCTTGTCTTTCTGACTGCTTCAGCCTCCATAAACACCATTATGTATTTCAGGTTTACAGAGACCTGGAGCTTGTCCCAAGCTGCCTCCAAACACTTTTGGAATTTGTGTTGAGAGATGCTCTGGAGATGACTCATGCCCTGAGGGAATGAAGTGCTGCAGCAACGGGTGTGGTCATGTCTGCAAACCTGCTGTCTTTGCAGTGAGTATAGCCCATTTCTTCCTTTCCTATTGCTGTGACACCATGATCAAAGCACTTATAGAAGAAAGAGTTATTGGAGTCTACAGTTTCAGAGAGTCAGTCCATGACCATCATGGTGGGGAACATGGCGGCAGGCACACAGGCATGGCACTGCAACACTAGATGAAAGCTTACAACTTACACACAATCATGAAGCAGAGAGCAAGATAAGTGAAATAGTGTCCATGGGGGCCATTACTATTCAAACCACCACATCCACAGGAGTACTGAGTTTCCAAGGGACTTTGCTGGCAGTTTCATGTTGTTATGTCCACTGACTGCACACAGGGTCAGTATGTGTCCACGAGAAAGGAGCTGGAAGTAATGGCAGCAGGACACTGGGTCACATGATCTGTAACCCTTTACTCTGCAAAGACAATCCCACAGTGACTAAAGTAACACAAGGTACCATGACTTAGGTCCACATGATCATGAACAGGGATAGCTCATTTTTCTTCCCCTCCTCAGCCTAAGAGGTCTAACTCTCCCAGGGGAGCAGGTGATCCAGAGATAGTGAAGTGAGTGGGAACATTCATTTGAGTACCTTACACGCATACGGCAGGCAAGTGCAGGAACTTAAAGATTAAGAGGTAAATATAACTAGAGTACAGAAACAGGCCTGTGTGTCAGCATGAGCTCTGCACCAGTGTCTACTAAGTTCTGTTAAAGGTGATTAGCTTTGCCTGTGAGGGGGTGGGGGCAGCGATGTCAGAGAGGAGATCAATGAGTAGGAGAAAGCCTAAGTTAGGGTACACAAAGCCCACCACACAAGGAAGGCAAGCTCAGATGGTGGGAGATGTACCACCCCTCCTTGGGAGATGGGGAATTGGTTGCCCCGATAGCTGTTGTGACTGGGGATGGGGGTGGAGGACACTACAACAAGACCACATCCAAAGGGCAATGCGGTTCACAGCGTAGAGTGAGGGCAGAACACGTGCACCTTTCTAACCGGATGAAAATCATGATGTAATCTGTTCTGTAGAAGGCTGGCAGCCCTGTCAAAGGTTGATTCGACACTTTTCAGGATGGCTGACAAGCCCCAGAAGATTTCTTCTGAATCCATGGAACACATGCCTGCTACCCCCAGCCTAAGAATTGCATCCTTAGATGAAAACCTATAACGTGGTGACTACATCCTAGTGTCTTTGTGTCCAAAATAAACGATCCTTAGCATCCTCTTGCTGAAGAGTTCTTCCCATTTGTGCATCTTATTGACTATTTTGATTAGCAGAGCCATCCCTGTAGCCTCTAGAGAGTTCCATGAACACTGAGCCCCAGGATCCCTCAGATCAGGATAAGGTCCTCGTCGATAAACCCTCTTCCCATGCCATGTCTGTTCCTCTAAACAAGGCTGGGGACATAACAATATTTTCTGGTACATTCTGTGATCACAAATCTTGTCAAGCAAACAAAATGAAGTGAGCACGCCGCACAGAGCAGGGCTGCTGGAGCTGCATTTACTGGGTCATGATGTGGGAGGAGCAGAAGGGGCTCAGAGTATTACCATTTCTAAGGCAATAAAACATCCTGCAGGACTGGAAGTCTATCTCCAGGAGCCTACATATGACCTCTGGGGAGCCCACACAAGAAATTAGGGAGCTGGTTCAGTGTTTACTAGCACATTCTGCTCTTCCAGAGGACCTGAGGTCAGTTCCCAGCATCCATAACAGGTGGCTCACAACTTCCTGCAACTCCAGCTAAAGGGGGATCTGACACCTCTGACCCCCTCAGACATCTGCTCTCATGTGCATGTACTTTTCTCCCACCCCACCCCCATATACTACACATAATTTAAAATAATTTTAAATCATTAAGAAGCATGGATTAGAAGCATCAGTTCCTATCTACATTATGAGTTAGAACTTAATAGAAATACCTCTAGGAGTCTGGGCCCATCCCTATCCATCAAGCTCAGCACTGGTGTCTGGGAAGGGCTTCTGCTCCTCCCCCGGCCTTACCTGTATTGGGGACAAGCCATGTCCAGGTTTGATTTCCTGGTTCCCTCAGCTTTGTTGGGCTTATGGACATCACTGCTAAGGATTGAGATGGAAACGTTAACCCTTCGTTTGGGAATAGAATCCAATCAGGAAACCTTTAGCCTCTATTATCTTTCCTAGATCCCCAGATTTTGTCTGCCAAAGTTTGGTGTCCCATGTCTGTCTCTTTCACAGCACTGCTCCTGCACCTCACATGGCTCGCCTCATAATTTTGTGACCTAAGTCTCCTTCTATGTAGTTCCCTCTAGAATATTTGCTCTATGTCTTTTCTCTGGCTCACTTGTTCTGTTTCCTCTAAGAGCCTTGTTATCAGTTCTGGTTCTCAGGTGTCTCTTTTTTCACCCTCCCAGAGTTCACATTTTGCCAAGAGCTCCTCTTTGGCTATTCACATGCTAATCCCCAGCTCCTAACTTGTGCCTTCCAGGTGATATCTTATGGGGTCGGTGAGACTGCCCATCCAACAGAGTATAACATCTTGTCTAAGAGAGGGTTACCGTCATCCGGGTTCATCTAATCCCAGGTTGTCAACCACATTTTGTCCAGAAGTTGACTCTGTATCAGGAAGCCTCTCTCAACCTCTTTTAGTTGGGGGTTCTACAAGATGAACAAGTAGGATAAACATTAATAAAAATAGCATTGCTGCATGTGACTGGGGCTTGCCTTGCCAGCTGCAAACCTGGGCAGACTGCCAGCATGACAGTTCCAAATCTCTAGGCAAGAACTCCTTCACCGGGGGAGCCTCGCTTCTGTTCTTCAAGTGTCTCCACTGACTCACTCTCCCCATCCAGCTTGTCTAAGCTGATTTCTCTTAAGGTTATTGATTTTGGATTAAATGGCTGTTACAAAGTATGGCCCCAGCCACATCTAGATAAGCATTTGAATGCTAGGCTGTAACATAATTGAGTTGGCACACCAAGTTAGCCACCACAGGACCCCTGACTGAGTTCATTCCTTCTTTAATAGCTGTCTCCCTTGGGCGCTGTATTAGCTAAACTTCAGTGTTAGGGAATAGGGAGATGGGAAATAGAAGGAGAAACTCCTTGGAGTAGATCGGCCTCCATCCATGCATTTCTCTTCTGTATGTCTCTCTACCTATAATATCTTGTCATTCCCACCCCATACAGGACTGGTTTTGTTGGAATCTTCCTCCAACAATAATCTTCCTGGGACAAGGTAGAATAGGAGATCCACAGGCCTTCCTCCAGCCTAGCTTCTCTCTGTGGTCCCATCCCCTTTTTGTACCAAACTGAACACCTACCCCTTGCCAACACAATACACCAGAGTTTCTCCTTTCTCCTCAAGGGTTTCACAGTCTTCCTGTTCATTGCAAAAAGGTTCCAGAGATACCCAAAGAAGCTAAGTGCCATCTCATGGTGGGGAGGGGACAAGCAGCACTTTTTCCTTACTAACTTATGACTTTCTAAATGCTTATTTGTGTGTACATGTGTCTGTATAAGCACATGCCACATGTGGAGGTCAGAAGACAATGAATGTGGGTCCCATGGATGGAACTGAGGTTACCAACCTTGGCCTTTACCTGCTGAGTCATCTCACCAGCCCTGAATGCTGTCTTTCTAAAGCCCAGGAGGTTCTAACAAGGTGGCCTTTATTATGATGATTATGATTATCATTATTATTATATTATTATTAATTTATTATTATATATTTACCCTGAACTTATTGTTACTTTGTGAGTCTTTTATTGCTATAAGAGGTTATAAATGAGAAAGATTTTGTTTTATAACCCAGAAATTCCTTACTTTTTTTATATTGCAACTTTTGCTGGAAAATGGACCAGATCTTTCTTCTGTCATCTCTTTCTGCCTTAGTCCATTTGGGCTTCTATGGCAGAATACTACAGACTGATCAGCTTACAAGCAATTTCCATCTGCAAGCCACACATCTTAGACTGTACTGTGATAGTACATGACTTCCAGTACCTGTCTAGGTTTGAGTGAGCTTTGACCATAACAAACTACACCAAACAAAATAGCCAATCATTTTTTTAGCTCAAAGTTCCGTAGGTTGGTTGGGCTTCTAGCTTGGCCCTTCTAAGGGCATCAGCAGGTACCTGGCCTTTCTGATGGAAAATGAAAGATTAAAGTGAGCCTCATTTACATGCCTGGGCCTGGCAGGCGGGACTGACTGTCAGAATGCCTGGGTCACATGCATTTTGTCCCCAGCAGTCCATACCAAGTTCCTTTGATGTTGGTGGCAGGATTCCAGGATCATGAAAGAGAACTTACAGACCTTCCTCATGCCTCACTTGCTCTGAACATCTCACTTCTTATTAGCCAAAATAAATGGGCTTCAACCACACTTAAAACAACAGCTGACCATATAATTCAGTCTTCAGATAACATCAAAGGAAGATTAAGATTCTGGCAAAGAAGTGAGTTTATAGAGACACATGGGGTTCCCAGTGGGATCTTGTTTTCCCCGTTTAGGACAGGAGGATCCTTGTCTACATTTTTTTGATGGATAATCACAGTGTGGAAGTGTGATGGGGTTGTGACTACTGACATTTTGGAAATTACTGCATTTTATCTACTGCCTATACACATTTCTTCAAATTTAAACATCTTTAAAAGTCAGGATAAATCTTGTAACAGATGACAGGTCACAGTTTAATTAGCAAGGTTTCATTCTTCTTCATTGCATAGAAAATAGTGGTACTTCTTAAAAATGGATTGCTTCTTAGATTCAGAGAAGTCCAGTAGATATGACTTGCTAGTTGCTTGTAGGACAGGCCATTCCAGATTATTCTCACCTGTGCATCAGCCCAGCTTTCGGGTGAACTCTCCTGTGCTTTACAGGGAAGGGGTCTGGCATCCAAAGTGTCTCAAAATGTCTAGAGCCTTTTTTTTCTTTTGAGGCAGGGTCTTTCTATTCAGTCCTAACTGTCCTGGAACTTGCTATATAGATCAGACCGGCCCAGAACTCACAGAGCTCTCCCTGCCTCTGCCTCCCAAGTGCTGGGATTAAAGGTCTGTCACCATGCCCAGTTCCTAGAACCTTTTATAAGGATTTTTTGTCATTGGTCTAAGGTTTTGAAGACTGCAGAGAAAGATAACATGGCCATCCCTAGGGCTTTCAAGCAGACCCCAAAATGCTGAATAATCAGCTACCGAGAAAGGCCCAAGAATTTATCTCTATTATATCTTACGGGGGATGTGTTCACTGTTTGGTATGTTTTTAACACAAATAAACAAATGACACAAAGACAGATATTGTGGTTCAAGCTGAATATAAGAAAAGCAAAGCAGCCAGCCACTAGCTCTTACCTCTACCTCAGGCTGAAAAGGCTAACCCACACAAGAGCTCTTCACCAAGTCTCAAACTGCTGACTCTTCTCAGTGTGACTGGAGAACAAATGCCTCCCTGAAACCTAGCTTCTGTCTTATATACTTCCCTAATACTGGGATTAAAGGTGTGAGCTATAATTCCCTTTTAGACTGATTCACTCTTGTGTAGATCTGGGTGGTCTTGACTCACAGAGATCTGTCTATCTCTTAACCATCAGTCCTAGGATTAAAAGTGTGTACCACCACTTCCTAGCTTCTGGCTGCTGAGATTAAAGGTGCAAGCCTGGCTTCTGTGACTTGTGGAATGCTTTAATAAATCATAAATAATATATCACTACAGCTTGTCTCTGGCATTAATTGGACAGTAAGTGTTGAGTTCAGGCGTGTTGCTTACTGGACCCTGCAACCTCAGCATTTGGGAGGCTGAAAGATCACAAGTCTTGGCGTGTAGTAAAGTTTACCTCAAAAAATAAAAAGTAGTAAACAAGTAATTAGTTGGTAAGTGAACTAAACAAGGAGTATTGCTTGTTGTACTGTCTTTTCTTTCCTTGCTATTTTATTCTCCATTTCTAGTTCTTACATCTGTATGTGTAGCTGCTGGGACTTTACTTTCCTCGTGACTGAACACTTGCATGCAGGTCTGTGCAACCCCACTGTCCCCTTACCGGCAGACTATGGAAAGAACAGGTAGCACTCTATTTGTTCATACTTCTTCTGCTGTTAGTAGTCAGCACCTCACACTAGAGTCCACCCAGTCCTTATTCTTACAGACGGATTTTAAGCATCTCTAATGATGGACCAAGAACAAGGCCCGTTCCTGTCACTCCAACATGGCCTCCCAAGGGGAATCTGCTCACTGCTAAGCCATTTGTGA